TGACCTCAAAAACAAAAAGTAACACTGGTAAAAAACGACTAGTAATCCTCAGTTGGACCAGCACATTTTGCTGGCTCGTTTTTGAAATATTTTCACGAATATAAGACTTTGCCGGAACAAAGTTCATGAACGCCTGGAAACCGCTGCGAAACCGTATCCATACCAAGTTCCATATTAGAAAAGCTAAAATCATTCCAACGCACACGATTTTTGTTCTTATGGGACCTTTAGCGATAAGATGAAAATGCTCAGCATTTAACTGGACACCAGTATTTTACCAAGACCTGTTTTAGCAATTTTGGGAACAAAAAGCGAGATTGTTGCAGAACAAGAAGTAGAGATTTAAGAGTGTTTAGCAATACTTTCATTTAAACGTCTCTGAAATGCGGTTCTCCATATAGTTTTACTACTGAAACCACTTATTTCAGATAAAAGATCTTCCTTACCCTTCATATATGTGTAAGAGACCAAAGGATCTTGGGATTGGCGAGTGGAACAATGTAGTCACAATTGCTGAGAACTCGAAAATCATTGATTTGTTCCGTGTATTTGTAGACTCCAAGAAATGTTTCCTACCGGTGGTAAATGAACAAAAAAAAGTGCGACTTTCACTTTTTTTTTTCAAATTAGAACAATAATCCTTAAGCATTTATGGGTTCATATTCTATCCATTGCAGCTGGTTAACTGTTGTTCAAAGGTGGATGTTATTCGTTATAACATTTATCATTATTTGGAGATGCCACTGAAAACTGCCTTAAATGATCCAGCCAGGGTAATAATTACTGTTTCGTTGGGCTCACACATGTCCCCTCATGCTCAAAATATAATTTGACCTCAAGAGGACCGGGTGTGTGGTCCCACAGCAGTGTAACTTAATCAGCTATCCAACACAGACGCTTCAGCCACTTTAGTGCGGTTTTCCAGAACTTTCACGGCGTGTACACCTGTACAGAGGATGAGTGCTTGATGACTGTATTTGAGCGAATGACGAAACACGACGTTCATCGTTTGGTCGCTGTTGACGAAGAAATGAATGTGGTTGGACTCGTTTCATTGACAGATATTTTCCGCTTTTTGGTACTTCAACCACCATCAACTGCTGGACCGAGAAGTAAGTAGATTGGCTTTACATCGTTTTCCACCACTTAATATTGTTAATCTGCTTGCAGTTTCAGTCATCAATCGTCAAGAACTAGCTACGAACATTACGATAGAAGATAGCGACTAGCATGCAGTCTGCTAGATAATGCTAGCTAGGAAGTCTGCAGGTGAACGGCGGCTTGAAAGCCAAATCTTTGTAAGTGCCCGACATCAGTTACTTAAAATTAATTCTGTACATTGTATGTTTTATGGGACGCCAGTTACTTAACAATGTCGGTGCTGCATGATGCCACTCACTGGTTATATTTGTTGTTTTGAACAACTTTGGAAAAACAGGTCTCTTCCTTTGGTGCAATAAATCTTTGGAAATTTTAGGGGGTTTCAAAGCGGAATTTACGGTCATGTAGTAAGCAACTCATGCCCCGTACGTCCGTGTAATGTGTACTTTTATGTGTTACAGTCTTCATATTGGCAGTTTTTCCTTCCCTTCTGTTGACTCAAGTTTCTTCATTGTTACTTCACATCCTGTACAGTAATTCTGGGAAAGCATTACGGTTTTCATAGGCTGGCTCTACGGGTTCCGGCTTACTAAGGTCCGGTATTTATGTTTCTTCTCGAGGCTTTGTTATCATCTTTTAGTGTACTACAATAAACTTGTTCATATCACTTTTGCTTTCTTCCACTCGACACCTTTAGTTTTTGCCTTCTGAACATGATTTCCTTCAAAAGTGACAGCTGTCTGGGTGTAGAATGTCCCAGTAGGCAAAATAAGTTTTCTACTCAACAGGGCATATAGCAAAAGATGTCTGCGGCGGTTTTTCGCCCAACAAATTCTTGTTAATCATTCGCGCGCTGGATTCAACTTCAATGATAACTTCATTTTCCATCTCTTTCCTCGCTGGAGCATAAACAAAAACAAGCAGTTCCCATTGAAGATATAATAAAGGTTAGTAGATGGAAGCAAAACATCATGTTACGCCAGCAGCTGCTTAAACAGATTCCAAACAATACATGAAATGATGAGTGAAAACTATTCACTCACTGGGTTAGTACAATTACCTTTAGCGAAGCTGATTTAGCAGCCCGGTAAAAAACCTTGATGCACTGCACGAATCGAAAAATATTACTAATAACAAGTTAAGAAAAGTGAAGCATTGTATTTACACCGCTTCCGAATACCTGCATAGAACTCACGTTCTGGCCACCAAAGTAAGGGACTGATAATCTGCGCATCATATACATATATGGATTTACAATGGATTCACAATTTGACGCAATTTCCGCTTCTATCATTGCAGTCATTTATGACTAAATTTTACAAAGGAATAAAATTTGTTCTGGGGAAGCAGAAAATTAGTGCACTATATATAAAACTAATGGTAATAATTAACCTTACGACATTGCGGACGGTTGTAAAACCATATACTGAAGAAGATCCCGCACAGAAACTACACCAACAAGACGAAACTCATTATCAACAGCAATGAGCTGATAGACATTCGCCAACGCAATCATGTGTGTTATCTTCAGAAGGCTGTCGTTTACGCTACAGATATGTAGCTTGCCCTGAACCTTGAAATAGCATTTCGTTTTCAATAATAAAACACAATTCTAAATCCAACACAATTCTATTCTCCCCACCAAAAGATGATAGTGACAAAACAACCTAAGATAAACCCTGACCATTTGCAAATCCGTCATGATTTCATCCATGGTTGTGTTCAGCATTTCAAAGAAATTCAAACGTAAAACATCGGTGTGCGAGAACACACCCACTAACTGAAATATGACAAATGAGATTTCGAAAAAAAAAATCAAAAAATAAATGTAAAACCTTGTCACTGCTGTCGACAACGGGCACACTTACTAACTCCTGATTTATCATAACTTTGCAGGCTTCCATCAAGGTCGATTTTATGCCAATTTTCTGCAAATCTTCCCAAGTGCCAACCCCTAGTTCTTTCGGTGTCTGTTGCATGAAGCTTGGGCATGGCAAGTGGTTCATCTAAACACAAGAGTTTGGAATAGCAAAAAAGTCAGAAGTTTTTTGATATTGACAGCTGCCTACTTCAATACTTGGAGCCCAGCCATAGTTCCTCAAGCTTCACTTTCCCACCAGTTAGGAAAATATGTCATGTTAACTAAAAACTTAAAACCCATGAGTCCCCTTAATTCTTCCACTGGTGAAAGTTCTATCCTATATCTCATTTTCATCGACTTTTGTTTCCCGTTGAGATTTTATTTTAGGAGCCTTCGTGTTAAATGTAGAAACTGAATACTTCAGTTTCTAAAGAAATCACGGCGGAATGCAACTAAAAGCTAGTAATGGTGACGGCAGACACCAGGGCCAACGTAAGATCATCTCACACATAAACAGTGGGACCTGAAGCAAGCCAGTCGACTTCAAATGTGAGTTATTTGCAACCAAACTGTATTTGTATGTACCTCTTCAGTAATTGATCAATCATCACCAATAGCAAAACTATACTAAAAGCTAGCATGCATTCACCGGAGAAGCTTCAGGGCACGAAAAAAGTAAGAAAAAGTTTTCTACACTGCACCGGTACAGTCTTGCTTCTCCGTCAACCTTCGTTAACGTCTGCGAAATTTGTTTGCATAAGATGATTACCAACAACATACTGAGAAAAAAATATTGCCGAATGTCAACCTCCAACTGATGGTCAAGCTTACAACATTGACGCTGGTTTGATTTCTCAAAGCTTATTCCCACTAAAAAGAAGTTTGGGACTGGACTTAATGATGTCAGCTTTCCCTTTTTGGAAGCAAGTTGCCTCTCTGAGACTCCAGAATACCCTTTCTAAGCTGTTTCTAATAAACTGATATGAGAAACATAAATTGTCTCCAAGTCTTATGACAGCAAAAACAAAACGTTGCACCTAATAAAATTTAGAGTAATTTGTTCGTTTTAAATGACAATTTCTTTCTCGCCATTAGAGATCACTATTCTCTTTACGACCGAAGTAAACAAACGCCTTGTATATCTACGTTATCTCAGCAACCCTTACAAGTATTTCTCTTTCTGGTATAAATT